GTCACTTGGAATCATCTGGGTATAAGTAATTTTGAACCCCTTTGTCATTTGCTAGTCTAAAATCCCAAACTGGAGTATTTATTGTGGAGAGATAGAAGTCTGGGCATGATAATCTTGAACCATGAAAAATATGCGATAAAAATATTTTAAAGCATACAAATTGCAAATTCAAGCAGAAGGTCTAGAGACCTTTGCGGACGTTTCACTTAAAGTGGGTTAAAAATCGATTGCCTTGGAGTAAATATTTAAAGAAGAAGAATATGAAACAATATGTATGCCCAGTAATTTATCACCTATTCTATAGGGCTACTTCTATAGAACTGTGAATTCAATAATTGGATTTATTTCAATATAGAGGACAGAATCCTGGATAGTCACCAGAAATTGGAGGTAGTTCAAAAAGCATTTAAATGGAAGTACCTCTCACTAGGATATAAATTAAAAGCAAGGATAAAACTAACTTGATTGCCATCTGAATTTTCCCACCTAAAGCAAATCATTTTGTTTGAATAGAAGAGTTGAGAACACAGCAAACTTTTGAAGGCAACTAAGTTGTAGTACCTCAACACCAACTCCACTCAGTGAATGCATATAAAAGTTTTAAAAAGACAAGATGTGTGTGTGTGTGTGTGTCTTAATACTATAGCCAACTGGGAAAGGAACTGTGAGATGCAAGAAAGAAATTCAGTTCAGCATGACTTAGTTAACCAGGTTGGTTCAAACTTCTTGAATCTGACACCAGACAGTTTATTTAGTATATTTAAGTACAGTACAACTTTGGGAGGGGGGGGGAAGTTTCCTGGTAACAATGATTTCAATTCCATGTGCACAATAAAGCTTAAAGTGTGACTACATGGAAATTCCTTTGCAAACTAAGTTACCTCTATCACAAATGTAATTTTTATAGCTTAGAGGAGTAGGATGCAAAGTGGTCTTTGAACAAGATAGTGCAGAGGTCACCCAACCATAATGTAAGTACGGGTTATATACCCTGTAAGGCTAGGTTCTAGTCATTGAGAATCAATGCTCAAGATACTTATCTAGAGAGGACGAGTTTGTGATAAACATAATAGTCTGGGGGATTTGAAGGGTCCAACTGTACAGATAGGAATCTATAATAATCTATAATAATCAGGTTATGAACATTCACTCTCAACCTTCTGGATGGAAAACAGGGATACACTTTTCTTCTTCTGTTGAAGAGACAAGCCTGTGTGCTTTAACATTCCTAGATTTCTAGTGCTTGTCTGTGACCAAGATGATCTCCTTCCCTATGTAAATATGTGCTGTACAGGGCAGAGCTGAAGTAATGGAGCTACTCGGGCCCCATCGAGCACAGAAGATCATGAGTCACAGACACTGAACAGTGATTTATCTACATGGTTAGAATTTTATTTTTTCTTTGATTTCATTCCGACTGTGCCTGCTTCTTCCCTCTCAAAGTAAAAAAAAAATACTTTTATTATTTTTATTTTACAGAAAACCACAGTTACAAGATTTTGGATACTTTAATAATAATGTGAGCTTTGCCAGAGACATTGGATATTTTAAAAAAGACTGAATTTTTCAAAATGTTTGAATGTTTAAAGACTGTGTGAATTTTTAAAGTTCTACTATGTTTTATATTGTGATGATGAGACTATGGGGATAAAGAAGGAAGGAAACGTTACGGTTTCATAAATGTGTGTATGTTAGGTAAAGAAGGAATCAACTGCTCTGAGTAGTTGTTTGTCAACTTAACATGAGCAACAGTTATCAACAAAAGGGGAATCGCAGTAGATAAAATCCCTTATTAGATTGGCCTGTAGGCACGCTGTTAGGAAAATTTCTTGATTGATGTGGCAGGGTCCATTCCACTGTGGGTGATTCCACCCCTTAGGAGATGGTCTCAGGTTGTATAAAAAGGAAGACTGAGTAAAGCATGAGGAACAAAGTCATAAACAGCACTTGTCTATGTTCTGTGCTTTATTTCTTACCGCTGGTTTCCTGCCTTGAGTTCCTGTCCTTATTTTCCTCAAAGATAGACTGTAAACAGGAGGTATAAGATGAAATAAATATGTTCTTCCCAGGTTGCTTTTGGTTACCATTTTATCACAGTCACAGAGAGCAAACTAGAATATAAATTCAGTATTAATACCTACTTTTATTAAACGGAATTGCCTACGAATTTAGACACACTCCACAAATGCTCCAGAAACACTAAAATATAACTTATCTAAATTCCAGAATCTGCATGAAGTTCAAATTTGCTGATAGCTTGTGTCCACCTCTTCCCACTAGGGGACCAGGAACCTGATTCTGAGAACATTTCCCTTTACAAATTTCTCGGTTCTTGTATTAGTAGGGATCCTTTACACAGGAGAACACACACTGTGCAAATGCAAGGAGGATACAAATACTCAAATCTTGTAACTCATGTAGGCATTTATAAGCACTGTCCACTCAAACACAAGATGAGCATTAAATAGTTATTGTAGCCTCTTTTTCAGGGCTATTTTGTTTATTTTTGGTGGTGGAATGAATTGAGAAATATAGGAGAGTTGTGTTCTACAAAAGAAAGCAGAGGAGATAACTAGAATTCATTCTCCTACAATGGACAGGTTTCAGGGTGCGCTAAAAGGCTAAAAACATAGATGCATGTCATTCAGAAGTATTCAAAACAGAACATCTAAGTCAAAAATTTATTTTCAAATAAGTTAATAAGAAGCTATCCTCCAGGAGAGCCTAGCTAGGGATAGGATTGTGAATAAGGTTAAAATCAAAGAAAAAACAAGGTCTCAGCTGCTGACTTTTCAATCAGAGCTCACAGAAATCTCTGAAATAGCTTCTGTGATTATAATTTTATAGTATCTTGAGATAGTGGAGGGGAAGGTTAGGACGGGTTTATCAAAGTAACTCTGATTATGAAAGGACGGTTCTTTGAAGAAGGTAATATTTGTTAGCTATTTCAGTCAACCCCCACATCACCTAGATGGTGTATACATCAGTTGATGGAGCACTGGAGAAAGCCCAATGTCACCTACTACAATTTATCCCTTGTACATGGTTATTTTCATTAAGATCAAGTCAAGCAGTAACAGCTTCTGCAAAATGCAAATTAGTCATGCTTCTAGGGAAAACTTTTAAAAGGAGAGTTAGCAGTTGGGTTTTAACTATACTTTTTTTTGACTTATAATATATTTATCAGGTCCATCTTCCATAATATATTTTAGAGTTTCTTCTCCTTGAGTGAGTTTAGACCACCATTCATTATGAGCTCCTTCGTTGCTGTTCTCATGAATCCATGGTTGTCAAAATTCAAATTTAGTTTCCAGTCGTCACTATAAAATTCAAGAGGCAGCCTAAAGGATCGCTCTAGGACTCCAAGCATTGCTATTCGGCAGTAACATTTAGCAGCATCCTCATGTGATTGTCCCACTAATGTGCCAGTGTGGCAACTATTCACTCACTTTACTATTGGTTTGCAAAGTCCAAAGCAAACAAGTAACAGCTGGAAGCTTAGTGATTGTCTTCCCTGTGAGTTGGAGCCCCTAGATAACACAGACTCTAGATATATGGGAACTGAAGTATTAAGACATTTAGTTGTGTCATACAGACCTCTGATAAACAAGGTTTCACTGCACGTTTACCCCCTGGATGAACAACAGTTTTCAAGCTGCATCCTGTGACCTCAGCCAGTTAGTGTTCAGAGTTCTATGCTATCTCCTTTTCTAGGTCACGGATCCCACCTTTGACTTGATTCTAACCTATATAATGTGAAAATGTAATAAAATTTGGTTTTATTTTCCAGAGTTAGTTCAACAAATTATCATAAACTGGATGTGGGTTTTGGTAGAACATAAAATGCACTGCTTTTCAGATCTGGCGGCTAGTAGCCCCAGATGAAGTTATCACCAGGGTCAGGCTTCCCTGGATTCTTAAGAGAAGAGAGTCCATTTGGTTTGTGTCTGTCTCCTAGTTATTTCTGGTAATAGTTTACTTTTTTTTTTTGGCTTGTTACTGCATCATTCCAACTTCTGCCTCCTTCATCACAAGGCCATCTTCTCTGTTTTCCTATGTCTTTCCTCGCCCAACATGACGCCATCTTAACTAATTGTACGTGCAAAGATCCTATTACCAAATGAAGTTGTAGACAGACATGAAATTCGAGAAGACTATTCAATAGACATAACTGCCATCTCTGTGATTATAGTTATTCTGTGGGGGCTTGTTGAGATAAGTAACCATTTGGAAAAATTCAAAGGATAAAAATCCAAGCATCCTTCAGGAACTTGGGGGAGACTATGAACAGCAAAGACAAGATTTAGCTAACAGCTAGCATTAATTAACTGGGAGACCAGAGCTCAAAATGATAAGGAAATGAATACCAACCAGAGTGCGGATGCTATAGATAAACTCTGTCCCCTAAAATGATGTGATGAAATTCTAACCCCAATATTAAGAATGAGATGCTGTTTAGAATATTTTAGATGTAATACATTAGCTCAAAGAAAAATGTGTCTTTAATGCAGTGTGACTAAAGTGTCTATAAGAGTGACTTGGAGAATACAGACATGTGGCAGGAAGCATACAAACTGAGTAATGTATCTATAGACAAGGGAATGACAAAGGTTACCAAACTATCTTGAGACAGAAGATACAACAATTTCTGCTACAGAATTTAGATGGAGTGTGGCCCATAACAACATTTTGATTTCAAATTTCTAGTCTCCAGTGCTGGAAAATAATTCATTTCTCTTGTTTAAGTAACCCACCTTACTGCATTTTGTATGTAGTCCTCAAGATGAATATTATAAATTTTGAAACACTTTTCTCCAGTCATGGCTCCAAACTAAGATACAATCCGGGTCATGATTTCACTGGATTTCACTGGACCTGCGCAGGATGTTAATATATAGCATTTGACACATATAGTGACCATTTAGATTTAGATTTACTCTGTCTTCTCTGTTTTGCCCACATGTATGCACGTGCATCACATTTGTACTTGGTACTTACAGAAATCAGAAGACGGTTTCTGATCCCATGGAACTAGAATCATAAATGGTTGTAAACTTCCATACGTGTGCCGGGAATGGAAGCAACATTTTCTGTGTGAGTACCAAGTGCTTTTAACCATGATCTCACCAGCCCCATATATCAACCATTTAAAAGCTCAGTGTATAATTTTTACTCCTTTAATGTGAGTTATATGACTATCAATTCCTGTATTTAAAGTGTTAACTTCCCCAAACGACAAATTCTCTTTATCAAGTTCTTCCTTTGATCCAGTCCAAATCCAATGTAAATATTTTCATCTCTGCTGTCAGTTAATTATTACCCAGGATCTCTAGCATGACTGTATATAATCTCTGGAGCTACTTGACTTCCATTTGCTTAGGTCAGCTTTTTATTTTTGAGGAGGAAGTTGGTGTTACTTGTGATCCTCAAGTGACCTACATGACCTACAGCTGGGAAGTGGCAGGGTATCAGTATCCATGCATTGACCTCTAAAGAAACTCCCAGCAAGCTTCCTGGTATAGGGACTCTTCTTTTTTTATTTTGGTTTTAAATAGTGAAACTTTATCTTTATTTAATAATAGCAAAAGCATCATTCAATGTCATGCATTGTTCTAGTGAAAAACATATGACTTAGAGTCTTCCCCTTCCCTATTACCACACCAAAGAATCGAGGCAACACTGTGGTCTTCTCCAGCCACCTCAGGCTTTACAAGGGGACAGCGGTCATAATCAACGACAGAGAGGGTCAGGCTGCAGGTAGCACTTGTACCTTCTATTGACATCTACTTTTTAGAACTTCTACTATCAATCAACAGGCTATATATAAGATTTTAAAACTTTTTTAATTCATTAATTTATTTATTTAAAATTTCCACCTCCTTCCATCCTTCCATCCCCCCCCCAACTCTTCAATTTCTTTCCTTCTACACATGTTGAATGTTGTGTGGCTACTCCTGGAAGCTGAACTCACAATTGTCCATTCAAGTTTCCATATCTGTGCTTGCTAATACTCTGGCAGCTGTATTGAGTTCAAATACTACCATGCCTTCTTGAACAAGGGCCATAATGTGAGAGTTACTTCTAACAATTTTTTAGCAAAAAATTTTCTTTTTACTTATCCAATCTCATGCCATATAATTCCCACTTCACAGCTCTCTTTTCTGGCTCATGAAGTAGAAATCATCATATCCTGGGTTTTTGTCCATAATGTCATGATCATAGAGATACTAAGAAATAACATGAACCCTAAGAAAAACATATATAGATCCACCAAGAAATTCAAAATAGACAGCCTGAAAAAAATAGGGAGCATGGGAGTAGGAGGACAAGGGAAGGTGAAAGAGGAATAGGAGATAAGAAGAGGAGGGATCAGGAAAACTTGATAGAATGGGATAGTCAAGATGGAGGACGGGCACAGATGAGAGTAAGGAAAGAAATATCTTGACTGAGGGAGCCATTATAGGGTAAGCAAGAAACCTGGCTCTAGATAACTTCCCAGGAATCCAGAAGGATGGCCCCAGCTAAGACCCTAAGCAATAGAAGAAAGGAGGCCCAATCTTGACTAGTCAGACTGAGGAATATCTTAAATGTCACCAAAGAACCTTCATCCAGCAACTGATAGAAACAGAGGCAGAGATCCTCATCGAGTACTGGACTGAGCTCCCCAAAGTCCAGTTGAAGAGTGGGAGCAAAAGACCATAATGGGTCCAGCCACTGAAACAGTCTACCTGAGCTAATGGGAACTCACAGCCACTGAAACAGTCTACCTGAGCTAATGGGAGCTCACAAACACCAGTTGGATTGGGAAGGAACAAGCATAGGCATAAACTAGTTTCTCTGAATGTGGTTGACAGTTGCATGGCTGGGGCAGACTGGAGGCACTAAAATTTATCCCTACTGCTTGTGCTGACTTTTTAGGAACCTTTTCTCTTTAAATGATACCTTACTCAGCCTAGATATAGTAGGGAGGACCTTGGACCTTCCCCAAAGCAATGTGCCTTGCCTTCTCCGATGAGTGGATTGGGGGGTACAGTGGGAGTAGTAAGTGGAGAGAATGGGAGGAAGGGAGGGAGTGGGAACTTGGGTTGATATGTATAATGAAAAGAGATAATTAAATAGAATAAAAAAGACCAGTCTTGAAAAACTAATATATATATATATATATATATATATATATATTATATAATTCTAGCTATTCATTACCTTTGATTTTAAAAGTTGATTTAGTAGGAAAACTAAGGTAGGGTATATTGGGTTTTTTATATTTATTTTTTTATTTATTATGTATACAATATTCTGTCTTTGTGTATGCCTGCAGGCCAGAAGAGGGCACCAGTCCCCATTATAGATGGTCATGAGCCACCATGTGGTTGCTGGGAATTGAACTCAGGACTTTTGGAAGAGCAGACAATGCTCTTAACCTCTGAGCCATCTCTTCAGCCCGGTAGGGTATATTGTTATGTTGTTTTCTTAAAAGCATTTTAAATGAACAAACTGAGTACACAGTAGGGTAGCAGTCTTGAGTCTTAAGAGACTTCAAGTTGTATTATTAATTTTGGTTGTGAGGTCCAGCAAAAACATTTCAGTCTCTTAGATTATCTTAGACATTTTCATAATATTGCATCACCAGAAAATTAGCTCTCTAACTTACTTCTTGAAACACTGGGTTTTGAAATTCCAAATATCAGGTTTTGTATGGTAATCTACAGAAAAATGCATATGCCAGCAGGGAGAATGCATGCAGTGTAAAACCAAGGGGAGGCCTTTCCTGACTAAACCAAGGTTAATTTTTATTCTTTGAAAATTTCATGCATTACATTTTTATCATATTTTTCCCATTTGTTCCCCTTCCCTACCTGCCCACCTTTATGTTCTTTCTTTGTCATAAGAAAAAATAAACGGGGCTGAGGAGAAAGAAAAGAGGAAAAAATGTCAGGGAAGCCATTAAAAATCATAGAGTCCAATTTGTGTTGGCCTGCCCTTAAGTATGACTGATACGCCCAATGTCATTCTATTGAAGAAATCAGATTTTTTTTCTCCAACAGCTATTATTTGCAAACAGCTCCTTGGTTAGGAGTGGGATATCATGCCCAGATATTTTGTACCATGCTGTAATTTTGTCTGGTTCTAATTTGTGCAGGTCTTGTAAGCAGTGTTAGTCTCTGTGAGTTCATATGTGTATCTGTCCCATCATGCTGGAAAAAGGTCTTTCCTTAAAACTGTCTACTATTTCTGGCTCTTGTAAAAGCCATCTCATCCATCTGAATAGATCCCTAGGCCTTGAGGGAAGTGGAGCTGGAATCATACCCTAAGCCTTGTGTACCTTAGTGACCTTTGTTTAATAGTCAACTCCCCCAAGGACATGTTTTAAGTTTTTCCATTAGTAACAATTTCATTTTTTTTTAAAGCTAGGTAAGAGCAGGTTATAAAAATGTAAGAAAAAGTCCTAAGAAAGTGAGGGATGCCAAGGGAGGCCAACCCTCCATCGTTATTTGTTTACTATATTATCTTATCTGGAGCTGAAACATAATTATCATAATGTACCGAAAATAAAGTCCTGATTTATGAAAATTTATAAGACTCTGTTATCTTTTATCTCTACTTTCAAAGAGAGTGAACACCAGGTCAGAGTTGCCAGGGATCTGTTGTGATGGTATCACTATAAAAAGTACCCTTCCATCTCAATTTCTCGGGATATATGGCAATCTTATCTATAAGTTACTATTCATTTTATAGAGCTTTGCCTTCTATAACAAAATTCTATTCTCTTTAAATAAATTATCTTCAACAAAGATAGAGTGTTAGAGGTAATCTTCAAGTAATTTCTCATTATATTAAATTAAAATCTGAACATCAAAAGAATAACAACGCTTTTCTGTGTGGACTCTACTGTATGGGTCATAGCAGCTCTCTTTGTAATTAAGTGCTCCTTTAACTAGGGATCAGCACTCAATGTAAATGACATGAGAAATAGTGATTCAAGAGTTGGAGTCTCTATGCCCTAGATTGTCACTGTCATTTAGGCCAAACACCAAAAGTATTTTATAGCTTTACACTTACGTGCCACAATTCTGATGGAGGGAAAATTGTATTATCACACCATGTAATGAAAACGATAAGGAAGAAATAGCTGTGAATCACTATTACAGATTTGTTGGACGAGACAGTATCTGAGAGTGGCTGATATCCTTAGATTACAGATTTGTAAGTTTCAAAAGTGCTTTAGATTCCATTGATTGCCCAGTAATTCTCAAGTGACCTAATCACACAAAGATAACAACAGTTTCTTTGGATTTATTTTTTGTGTTCTTTTCTCAATTTTAATATTATGCAGCTACTGTCAAAATTTTACTTATGCTTATTTTTGTTTCTACGATATGTGGGATTTCCCTCTGTATAGTATAAATATGTTTTATTACCATTGGTTAATAAGAAGCTGCTTTGGCCTGTGGCAAGGCAGAATATAGCAAGGCAAAAAATCCAAGCAGAAAAAGTGGAGGAAAGGAGGCAGAGTCAGAGAGATGCCATGTAGTTGCTGAAAGATAAAGATGCTAGAACCTTATCAGTAAACTACAGCCTCAAGGCAATGCACAGATTAATAGAAATGGGTTCATTTAAGATGTAAGAGCTAGCTAGGAATACACTTAAGCCATTGGGCAAATTGTAATTAATATAATTTTATGTGATTTATTCAGGTCTAGATGGCTGGGAAATGAAAAAGCGGTGTCTGTTTACAAAGATAAAAGCAGAAAAGCATAAATGCTAACATATACTTGGTATCTAATTGTAAACATATGAAATATATTTATCTCCTCGAATATTTTTATGTATGTCAAAACATTCAAAATCCTTTTCCTTTCTTTCTTTTTTTCAGTTTTAATATATTAGCATTAACTAGAAATGACAATAAAGATGCTGTGGAATCCCCCCAAAACATAAGGGAACACATTTGTCTGTTTCCATAATATAAGAATTTATTAAATAACAATAAATTCACAGGTTCAACAGTTTTAATAACATAAATTTTTCATTATATGCCAATAACTTTGTAATCTGGCCAAAGTAAATGCAGTTTCTTGTAGA